GGGGAAATATTGTGTGTTTATCAGGCATATATTTAAATTCTATACCATGATAAAGTAACTATGTCACCTTCAGTTATTAAATATTTATATGTTTAAATAGAAAATAAACTTGACTTCTCATCATATCTGTTTCTAAATGCCTTGAAATTGGCCTCTGTCTCTTTAAGAACGGGGCTGGGTGTGTGTGCTCTGTGATGAGGAAGCTCAGTTTGGAGACACAGCCCAGAGGAGGAGCTGATCCTAAAATGCGGTTCTAGACTCAACCGGTTGTTTTTGCTCCCCTGCCTGGCTGCATCAGGACACTAGGGTTTCTAAAACATGCATGAATGAATCAAAGCAAGACTCTGGGCATGTTTTTGATGAGAGGATAACATTATAACATGATAAAAAAAACTCAAAAGTTGATTTTACATGATATTGCCCCTTTAAAGGAGTTTGATTTCTACATTACAACAGAATAAAAAAAGGGATATTTTGGTTATAATTATGCAGGTTTCAGAAACGTTGAAAAGGACTACATCTGTCTATTTTAAGGAAGAAAAATAATGTTGAAAAAGTTCAGGACTGAATGACTAAACAGTGATTTCAAGAGCAAAAACAACATTAACTAGACATGGGTTTTTACGATGTTAAAACAAGTGTGCATTGCCATGTAGCATGGATTTGCCTGCAGCGTTGGACTTACCGAATGAACTTCGACCAAGTTCAAATGTGTTTGCTATACCAGCTTGTGCCTGTCACATCAGCAGGTGTTTAGAATTAAGGTAATTGTGTGACAATATGAACTTTGAAGAGATTTTTTTTCTTAAAGTTGCATTAACTGGTTTTTGAACCCTGATCTCCCACATGAAAGTCCATGACATAAACCATTAGACCAATGGAGCTGTGGCGGAAGGTGGTGGCAGGGGTTGCAGAAAGAGGCCATATTGCCAATACAATTATTGACACAAAAATGCATAATATTACAACAATAGAGCAGTATTAAGACAATATTATAGTAAAACATCAAAATATAATCATATTAGTATTGTAAACACTGAACTACTGAGTTGAAATATTAAACTATGGTGCAGTACCAAGTTGAGTACATTATGGGGCAGTATTGGACCAATACAAGGCTCCATTGACTGTCATTATACTCATTAGACATTATTATTTCATAAACTATAAGCTTTACAGGCACCAAAAGGCATAGCCATCATTTGGCACAGAATATTTACAGATATAAATTACAAAGGCAGCTCTAGGACAAAGTATGCAGGAGGAGAAGCATGGCAAAGTTGAGATGACTTGGATGGGAAACGAATCACAATAGTGTGCATTGAATTGGCACTGATAAAAAGATGTCATTAGGTCTTTCCTTTAAAAACTCATCTTTTCTGCTGCATTTTAGAGAATTAAACTAAAYTCATCTTTTTGACTGAGACTCAGTCTGATACACAGAGCATCAGTGATCATAATTTGATCCATGAAGAACAAAACATTAAGCATCAAATAAAGACAATCCGTAAAAAAAAGMTTTTATATAAAAGTATTTGCAGTTTTCTGTGTGAGAAATACTCCACGGTGTTTAAACTTTGGACTTTGTCGCACAGATTGTTTTTTATTTTCTTCACCTCGAAGTGTTGCCCACATAACACCATCGTCCCACTCCTCCTTCTGCTCCATCTGCCTCCTCATCCTCCTCTCTTCATCCATTAAACTAACTGTGGGAACTCCCAGCAAGAAAACCTGAGAAATCCATTTAGAAATCAACATTATTATAATAATCATTATATTATAATCAACATTATTCTCATCCTGAAGGCTGTGTGTGCACTGAATGATATACAGAGCTATAGTAAATTGTTTTATAGAGTAAGTTCTGTGTATTTTGTTGTGAAAAATGAATTTTATCAAATGCAGAATGACTCAACTAAGCATGACATTAGTTTTGTTTCTGTTCTGAATGTTAATTTATTACTTTCAAGTATTACATCATTTTATTTCTACATGATTTCTGTTTGATAAACATAAAACGCTTTTTTTTACTCGTGGAAACAATGTGTTGCTGCCATCTAGTGGCAGAAAAAATTGATTCAATTTTATTTTGATTGTTTGATTTCTGACCACACGATGGCCTTCTAAACCCACACTCCTCTCACAACACTTTCCAAAAACCCAAACTGTTCAAGAATGATTTGAATTGATTTTTAATAATCAAAATGAGTCTCAGGAGATGTTTCTGCTGCAGGGAAGTGATTATATTTAATGAGAAATATGAACTCATTGAGATGGGTCTTATGTTATTAGAACTGAGGAAACAAACATTACAATAATTATTATATGGTTAATTTTTAATCACTTTCTAAAGCCTGAAGATGCAGGAGCATCACAGAAACTAATAAATCACCACTAAAACAAGGATCCTTGTGATGCTTGGTTATACCATGAAGCTTCTTCAGATGAAGAGACTGGAAGCTAAAATCAAATCAGTGCAGAAGGAAATCATCTGTCAGATAACGCAAATAAAGTCTCACAATTTGTCTGAATTTCCTAACAACATCTCACAGAACAATAAAATGATCAATGGTTTTAAAAATGCTAAAAGAGCTGAAAATGACAGAGCTGTTAAAGCTAAAAACAGCTGAATGTCATCTAAAAGATAAAAACACCTAAAAGTTAAACAGAAAAATGACAACTACAAGCTAAAAACATTTAAACACCTAAAACACAAATAAAATATGAGCTAACAGATCTTATAAAAGCAGTCAAATATTTGCCAGAAGAATAAAAAAATCACCCTTAGAGATAGGGTGAGAAGCTTGGCCATCCAGGAGGGACTCAGAGTAGAGCCGCTGCTCCTCCAC